CAAAAAAAAAAAAAAAATCCTAGACGAAAAATGCTGAGTTTAAGCTGTGCTCCTATCCCACGCTTGCATAATTTGCATCTAAGTCCCGTCTTGTTTCCACCATTCTCAAATACCACACTTCATTTTTTCGACATATAATGAATTAAATTCGGGTACTCCACCGTCTAACAATCCAACCCTATAAATCATTAATAAATTTCATATTTTACATTCCACAATTCCATTAATTTAAATTTAGCCCATAACTTAATATTAACAAATTACACTTAAATCCTCAACTTTTTACAAAACATTGTAATACATGTGTTCAGATCTCACAGATGGGCCCTAGATCTCAACAGTGTTGGGCCGTGGACCCATCCTCAAGTTGGGCCATTGAACTGGTCAAGTGTTCCAAGAACTCTTGCTCATTCAATAGGTATTATATTTTTCAATGTCATAGTTGGCCTCATTCAATTTGTCACCCCTACTAAGGTCAGCAACTGCATTTTTAGTGGTCATTTGATCACTACATAGATATGTGCAAATTCAACATGAATTACAGATCTTATTAATTTGTTCCAAAAACCCAACCGAAATATATTATCCTTTCTCACATAATAAAATTGAAAATGTGTCGAAAAACCCAAAATCATCTCATGCATGTGAGTTGGGAATATATTTTTCAATTATTTTTTGAACAAATTTATCTTGGGAGGATCTAACTTATCCCACTATCTTCACATGACCATAATTAAACTTGTCATATTTTTATCCATATCATTGCGCCATACAACAAAATGCACACGGAGTTCACTGAGCCCAATTGATATTATTAAGCTTATGCTAAGAAAAATTCTACATGTATAATGTGTGAAACGAAACACACTCCTTACAAGGGTTCAATGCAATAATACAACCTTTTAATTACATTTCCAACCAAAGCCTACTACAATCTAATCAAAATAATAACGGGGATACCACGCTTCACATTATACATCACACAAACATAAACTTATAAATAAATAATGCCATTTTTTTTTCAACCATCCATTTATTCTAAAGCAAACATATTAATACATAAGAAGCAATACCAATAGATCTTTCAAATGGATGATTGTACCACACTCACCCTTGTAGGGAGCGGTATCCATAGTCTTATAGGGATGACTTTTATTTTCATTTTTGATGATATTTAATTANATTGCGCCATACAACAAAATGCACACGGAGTTCACTGAGCCCAATTGATATTATTAAGCTTATGCTAAGAAAAATTCTACATGTATAATGTGTGAAACGAAACACACTACTTACAAGGGTTCAATGCAATAATACAACCTTTTAATTACATTTCCAACCAAAGCCTACTACAATCTAATCAAAATAATAACGGGGATACCACGCTTCACATTATACATCACACAAACATAAACTTATAAATAAATAATGCCATTTTTTTATCAACCATCCATTTATTCTAAAGCAAACATATTAATACATAAGAAGCAATACCAATAGGTCTTTCAAATGGATGATTGTACCACACTCACCCTTGTGGGGAGCGGTATCCATAGTCTTATAGGGATGACTTTTATTTTCATTTTTGATGATATTTAATTATAGTTTTTTTTTTTGGTCAGGATATTTAATTATACTCAATCGCTCAAAAATGTCACACAATTCATTTATCACCAAGAATAGTCATTCCACGATGCAAAAATATTTTCTAGGATCCTTGTTTCACTTAAAAAATATTAGAGGGTCACAAACGGTATAAAGTTGCATGTAGGCATTTTTAATTTTTTTTTGGTCCAAAAGATAACCAAAAATACAAAATAATGGAAGAAAATTCTTGAAATTTTAATACAAATAAAAAACAATGGCTAGGACTCATTTTCAACCACTTTATGTCAAAATATTCCTCTCAAATTTTTATTGAACATTTAAACAAACTTCGTCCACTAATTTCTTTTAATCTACTTGATGCAAAAATGCGTACGACATACCGTTGGAAAGCATATGTAACAAAGATTCATCTTGCAAAAATCATGTTTTACAGTTCAAAAAAGGGTCCAAAGTTTGCAAAAAAATCATAAATTTCATGTGATCCGAAATTTCAATTTGATTTTTCTGGCAAACCACTTAACAAATATCTTCATCAAATTTTACATTTGATATTCTAGAAGTACATGGAACAAATCCACCAAAAAATTACCACAAAGACCCATTTTGCAAGTTAATGACTATTTCTGGCCATAAATTGAAAAATATAAATATACATAATATATTCAAAAACAGAATATTATGACAAATCAACAAATAAATTATGCTCTGATACTATTGTTAACATATATTAACACATAGTAGTAATGAGTTTTTCATATAGCTCTTGAAGAACACAAAAATAGACCGGATTGTTACTTCTTGTTGCGATCCCACGATGCCAAACCCAAGCTTCCCCAAGCTTCCTTACGTACCTGAATCTTCTACTAGGTTAATGAGCGGCTACTAGAGTCCTTTCTTANGCTCTGATACTATTGTTAACATATATTAACACATAGTAGTAATGAGTTTTTCATATACCTCTTGAAGAACACAAAAATAGACCGGATTGTTACTTCTTGTTACGATCCCACGATGCCAAACCCAAGCTTCCCCAGGCTTCCTTACATACCTGAATCTTCTACTAGGTTAATGAGCGGCTACTAGAGTCCTTTCTTGAATTCCCACAATCACAAGTCCAAGGGTGTATGGTGTTAACCTAGAGAGAATGCAAAGAGAGAGAGAGAGTATATTGAGAGGGAGAGTATGTCTTTGAAAGACTTGAATTACTTAACAAAAATTGCATAAAATTTTTGCTTTATATATATAGATGGAGGTAACCGCCAAGGTAACTTTCCCAAAAAAAAAAAAAAAACTTTCAACTAACCACCCAATCATGTGGTACCATGATCACCACCACACAGGAGAATGGTTTTCTCTTGTAATTTCCACCAACCACCTAGAAATCAAGCAAAAATTTTTCCTGTTGAATACTAAAAGGTGTTGCTCAAATAGGATTTGATACACAACTCTAACTTTATTTTTCAAAACAACTTTCAGTGTTTAGAAAAAAGAACTTTTGATGAAAAAGCCTAAGAGTTCATGGATTATCCTAAGTCCAACTAATTAACCTAATGAGCCAATGAGTAAAAACACCATAGGTTATAGGTATCTAGATTATTGCTTGTCATAATCTAATGGAGATCTTCTTGATACGACTTTGAAGCTTGAACTTCCTCCTTCCTTGAGGTTTTTGGATCTTGATCTTTGAAAAATCAAAGAATGTGGATTTAGGTTGAGATTTACAATAAAACTTCATGAAATTAGCTAATTACAATGAACAATTTCCTAACAAACCCCACACTCAATACTTACACAAAAGCTAGGCGGGGCCAACCACTAGCCATTACGTAAACGACTTAGAGCAACTCTAGCTCTTATCTTTTTTTATATCTAAATTTAAATTTGAATAGCAAAAGTTCAAAAATCTTCCCCAATCTTATATCCATACCCATGTCAAATCAAAGAAAACTCAATTCTAAGCTCAAATGAAAGAAGACTCAAAACCTTTACCCAAATTTCAACGATAACAAAATTTGAAGTTTCATTCTCTTCTCCTTCACTTTGCCACTTCAAGTTGCTTCTGTGTCATATGACCACTTCGCTGGTCATCACCCAACCACCTCTCTCTCTCTTTAATAATAATAATAATAATAATAATAATAATAAAAGTATATGAAATTTTGAATTTAAAATAAAAAGAATGGTTCAAATCATTTTAAGATAAAACAAAGATATATTCGACGAATTATATTACTCCAATATAAAAAAAACGGTTCAGATTATCTCAAATTTACTGATCCCACAAATTAGATTAAATTTTGAAAAAAAATTTCCCACCAATGAGACTTTCCATTTTTCTTACCTTAGTCAAGCCTTCAATCACTCCCCTCCCCCCTCGCCCCAAAATATTTGTTTTCCAAACTAAGCCCTATACTGTGCCCTAACACCCTCTTACTTATGGGTGTTCACATTTTTGATTGGCCGCAATTTTCTACCATACCCTACCC